ACCTTGTCCAGATTTGAACGAAATCGGAGTTCTTGAGGTGTGGAGAAATCTGGTAACAATCGGGTGGAGTAATTATAGTTTTGATTGCATGAGTAGTTAGATAACTTGTTGAGAAATCCGTACGACTTTACAAAATTGAATTCGGGCGAGTAGAACTACCAAAATCGATCTTAGCGTGAAAGGTATTTTCTGATCCTAGTGGGTTAGAGATGTGTAGTGAAAAGGGATTTTGGAATTTCTTCAGTTGACTCTCTGGTTCCGTTTGTACTGCTTTGGCGGGAGTTTGGCCGCTCTGGCGGGGCCGCTACAGCGGGACATGGGGCGTTGTGGCGGGTATGACGGGACTTAAAATTCTTAGAAAATGATGGATATCTCACTGGTTCGAAAATGCCACTCTGGCGGGACTTGATATCGCTCTGGCGCCGCCTAAGGCTGGGCACCGGACCGAAATGGGACCACCGGATCGGAACGAACCGGTACCGGACCGGAACGGGACGGTTTGACCGGGTTGTTGACCGGTACCGGGATGAACCGGACCGGAACTACCGGGATGGAGGCTCAGTTCCGTCCCGTCCCACTATATACTGGGATAGAACCGGGACGGACCGGAATGGACCGGAACGGAACGGGATGGGATAAACGGGACGGCACATATAACTATTTCAAAAAATAATTATTTTTTTTGAGTTATTTTGAATTACGAAAATACGAATGTTTTTTTTATTTTTCTAAGTTATATTCGTTTATAGTAATTAAGTTTTAAAACTTATAATAATTTTACTTAAGTTTATTTTAAAGATATTTTTTTTAATTTTTACGTATATAAGTTTGTAAGTTAAGTTTGATAAAGTTTTTTTTTTTAGTTTTTGAGCTTATGTAGTTATGTTATAAGTTTTAAAGATTTGAATCTTTTGAAGTTTATAAGTTATTAAGTTATACTTATAACTTGTAAGTTAAATAACTTAAGTTTGTAATTTTTAAAAAATTAAATAAACAAAAAAGAAATGCTAATAAAAGTAAATAATGAAAAAAATATTATTTTTTATTTTAATTAAAAATGATTTACCGGGACCGGACCGGACCGGACCGGAACGGAACCGGAATGAACCGGTACCGGTATACCGGTACCAAATCATGGTACCGTTCCGTTCCGTGTACCGGTTCAACGTATCCCATCCCGTCCCGAATACTACCGGACCGGAACGAATCGGAATGGTACCGGTACAACCCGTTCCGGTGCCCAGCCTTAGCGCCGCCGCTACAGCTAGGGCTGGGCATTCGGTATTTCGGTTCGGTTTCGGTTTTTTTTTTCCGGTTTTTTCGGTTCTTGTATCATGTGTACCGAACACCGAACCGAAATAATTCGGTTCGGTTCGATTTATGTTATTTCGGTTCGGTTTTTGTTAGTTCGGTTTTTCTTTTATTGTGGGCTTTCTACAATTTTGTAATTTTTTTTGTTTATATTTATTTCTTTTTGCTTATTTTAGTATTTTGCTTTGTTTTTTAATTATTGTATGAATCTTCCAAGTTCCACACCATGACACCAATCTTGCAGACTGACACCGACGTCAATCCGTCATTGACTCATTGTCCCTTTTTTCCTTTCAAAAACGAGGAACATTAATATAAATTTACTTTTTTTTTTGTTTAATTTAAAAATATGAATAAAAACTTGCAGACTGCCTAGTGCCTGCTGCTTGTCACTTGAGTCAAAACTCAAAAGTGGAAAAGAGAGTAAATAGTAGTGTACAGTGTAAAGAAACACAGAAAAGTGGAAAAGTTTGAAAAGACTCACAAAAGGTCTTGATTCTTGTGCACTTTTTTGACCTAATTTAATTTTGCTTTTAAATTTAAATTATAATATTTATTATTTAATATAATATATTTCGGTAAACCGAAATACCGAATAATACAAAAATTATATACCGAAAACCGAACCGAACTACCGAAAAATACTAAAACACATACCAAATACCGAACCGAAAACCGAAATATCGAAACCGAAATACCAAAATTCTTCGGTTCGGTTCGGTATTTCAGTTTTTCGGTGTTTATGCCCAGCCCTAGCTACAGCGGGATGAAGGTCGCTGTGGCGGGCAGACGTGACTTAATGTTTTTAATAAACCCCTAAACGACCTTATTTGACACTTTTCAAATTTTAGAGCTAAGGAACGACCCCCATGCAATTTCTACTCATTTTTCACCATTCTTGAGGCTAAATGTAAGTTTTTCACTCCCCGAATCCGTTTCTCAATCCGTAGAACGTAATATAATGGGTGAATATTGATGGGGGAAGGTTTTGTTATAGATTCTATGGTGGAAACAACTCTAGTTTGGATGTTTGGGATCATGAGTTTGATTTAGGGTTCCTAGAATTGTTATAGTTTCGGGTAATTAGCGATTGTTTGTTGATTCCCGTGTTATTGTGATTGTTTGTAGACCAAGAACAAGTGGAGCGAATCTAGAAAGGGAAGGATCAAATTTCTTAGGGTTTCAAGCTTGTTTCGAGGTAGGTGATGGTTGTGATTCAATGATTGTGTGATCTATGTTTGTTCTTGCTTCATTATGATACATATATGTATGCGAATGTTTCATTATTGATCACGCTTGTTGTAAATAAAGATAATTGAATAATTGTATGCCATGAATCACCTCTTGTTGTATTATTGTGAAAATATACATTGTGATTGTGATTGTGGTTTGTTGAATGGGCGGGTGTCACGTTCCGGCACACTAACTAGGATCTGATGCCACATTTCGGCATAAATATGGAATCCGTTGCCACGTTTCGGCATAAATATGGGATCGGATTGCCACGTTCCGGCATAACTAACTTGGATCGAATTGCCACGTTTCGGCATAACTATGGGATCAATTGCCATGTTTTGGCATAAATATGGGATCAAATTGCCACGTTCGGGCGTGCTAACTGTTTGAGTTTGGGTTCCATGAGAGGACCATTGAATTGGGTTCCGTAAGAGGACCATTAAATTGTGTTGTGCATCTACTTGTGATGAGTTCGTTTATATCTAATGATAATTGATATTAGAAGACGGTATGTTGCTCTATATTGATATAACTGTGATATGTGAGAATCGTGAAGTTGTTCATTGTTCTTATATGTTGATGATATTGTATATGTTCGATATGTGCATGTGATTATACTATTGTATTGACTAATGTATGTTACACTTATTGGGATAGTCGCGTGATCCTACCAGTACATTGTGATTGTGTACTGATACTGCACTTGCTTGTTCTTTGTTGCGTACAAGGCATTTTCAGGCGGCTATTGATAGACCTCAGCTAGGTGACTGTTGAGCCTGATTAGATTCAAGGGTGAGCCAGTTCTTTCGGGTTGCCATGGATCTTTCTTGTTTAAGTCCACTCTTTTCGGACTCACACTTCTGTTTAAGGTGTTGTTTAGTTTCGGGGTTGTACCCCTTGTTCTTAGACTTGTCGTTAGTAGAGTTTTGGTACATGACTTTCAGGTTCTAGGTTAATTCTTCCGCATTTGTTAGTTATTGTTGAACTTTTGTTAGAGTTTGTGGAAACTCTATTTTTTTTCCTTAGCATTTGACTTATATGCCTTAGTTTTTAGATTGATTGGTTGGTTTGGGTTGTAGTAGTGGTTCTCTCACCGAATTGTTAGTGTAGGTACCAATCACGATGGTCTGGGTCGTGACACAAAGTGTGACATTTAACTATGTCTAAGCCTAATCACAAATGCCCTTCCCCCTAAGTCAATCTATAATACAAAATTGGATAGTTACTTTGAGAATTTAATTAACTCAAAACTTATGTATCCTATAAAGGAGAAAACAAAATCGAAATGTATAAAGTGTGCAAGCAATATTGTTTATTAGTTTATATTAAATGATGATGTCAATGATATTCATACAATTTTTCTTTTTATATAGAGCGGTCTATGCTGATCCAATATAGATGAAAAGACACAATGCTAATATAGAGTGCATGATATTTTATAGCTGTCTTTAGTTTGTCATTTTCTCTTTTAATTGAAGTGATGATATATAGGTGTTTTCTTTTCCTAATTCTCTACACCATCCTCTTACCTAACTGTCTTCGGTATACTTTTGTCTTTTCCTTCCTCTTTGTCTCTACACACCCCTCCTCACACACAACATAGCATTATCGAGGAAGATTCAGAAGTTGAACTTTATGAATATTATTTTGAGATGTGATTAAAACGATTAATTATGTGAGTTAGTGTGATGTTTGAGATTTTGTTGTAAAACTTTTAGTATATATTTGGAATAAGTCACTAGGCTCGGTTGAAGACATATTTTATACCGTAAAGTTTTCAGAAGTTGAATTTTACGAGTGTTTTGAGATGTGATTAAATCGGTTAATTATTTGAGTTAGTGTATTTGATATTGAGTGGAAGTTACTAAGCTCGGCTGAAGTCATATTTTATATTGTAAATTTGAATTATGGTTTCAAAATAAGTATCGCTTCGTATACTATTAAAAGATTAGTTAGAGTTATTTGACTAAATTATGTTCCCTCTTTAATCTAGTAAACTTAAATGTTCATGGAAAGACTTCTTAGCAAATTGTATAGCATAGATCAAAGAATTAATGCATTCTTTTGATTTTCTAAAACAACACTTATATATATTTGGATTAAAAAATTTTCGTCTATATTTAATTCGAACTTACGAGAGAATAATGTTCTCTTAATTTTATATGATAGTATTTGACTGAACAAAGTTTAAGAATAAAAAAAAGACAGACTTTTGCTATATACTAAAAGTATCTTTGAAGCTTCTAATCTTAAATATATCACGACATTTCTTGGCAAAAAGATCCTCTCATTAAGAATAAAAAAAATATTTAAAAATTAAATTATTTTAAAATATTAGGACAGCCTAAAAAAGTAAAAGAAAAGGCCATATAAAATGGGACCTAGGAAGTATTATATATGTATATATATACATGTCTTTATATATGATATAATCTTACTAGAGAAAGAGAAAGAGGGCATATACTATAGAAAATTGAAAAAAAAATGGCAAGAGATGTAAGGCAAGTGGTGGCTGGTTTACTAACAGGTTCAATGCTTATAATGCTTTGCAATATGGTTAAAAGAGATCATTTTGATCCTATTTATGTGGTAAGAAATATGGGACCTTTATTATCTTATTTTAATTATAATCAATCTCTTCTTCAATTTGTTGTTCTTCCCTTTTATATCTTTAGAAATTCTCTAGTTATAAGCATGTTGTGCTAGATGATAATTAATAAGAAGCCATGTTCTCAATACTCCAATTTTGATCTTTTTTTTGGAGGTCATGAATTCAACTTGAATATTTTGAAAATGAGTATTTGTTAAGGGGGTGGGGGTGGAGAAGATATGCACTTCTCGAATGTGTTGTAGTAGATAAGATTTCTTCATCTTTAACAGAGATAATAAAAAATGAAATTGTTATTCCATTTTGCGATGATGATGATGAGGAGAGGAGGAGGAGGTGGTTTCTATAAGTTTCGTAAACTAGGCTTACGTGAAGTAATAGCTAGATATGAACCGTTGAATTTTTGTATTGCAGTAGATAGAATTTCTTCATCTTTAACAGAGATTACAGAAATAAAAATAAAAAAAATATTCTCTTTTAATGAATCTAACCTGACTATGCGACCTTTGCTTTTTTGACTATGCGACCTTTGCTTTTTTACAGTTAACCGTTAAAAATTGTGCACCAATTTTAGTTGGCAAACTAGAGTTCATGATGTTAGAACTACCATATAAAAAAACAAATTAAAAAAAAAAAACAGATACATTATATGCATTACTAGTATAATTTTTTTAATACTATCAAGTTATTTTTATTTGTTATAACAGATAACATATTTATTTTCAAAAAATACAAATCTTAAATATATTATTGGTGAACAAAATTTGAAACTTGATATAAGTTGGAAGATTTTTAGTTATTCTTTTTTTATCTTCATATGCACACATGAAAAGTCCAATAAAATGAAGATTTTTAAATGGAATTTTCTCTACATATTTTATTATAAATAGTTTTACTTTAACGTACTATGCTTGTTTTTATTTTTATTTTTAGAGTAAATATAACGCTAACTTTCTAAAAAGAAATACATGGTTCTTTTTCCCTCATTTTTCATCATGACTTTTTTCTAAGTCATGAAATTTTCCTTTTATAAGGCCAAAGTTTCTGAAGTATTCTTGGAATTAAATGAAAAAAATAATAATTGGAAACTTTTTTCAAAAGCTCAATATTAATAAAGAATAAGAAAAAAGTATGTGAACTAATTGATTGTCTTCTAATTAGTCACACTAATTAAATATTCAATTGAGCACCACTTAGCATTAATTAAATTTATGGATTATTAATAATTAATAGTTATATTTATTTATCTTTAGTTCTTTACGGTGATCTGATAGTATAATTTATTTATTTTTTTAATTATGTCAGTATATAAAAGTTAAATTTTATATTTGTTTATTATTTTGTTATAGGAAAATCTTTCAGTGCAATATGATTTGGTAAAAGTTTCAAAGCAAAGTCTTGTTAAACTCTCAGACAGTACAAGTGGAGGGATTTGGAGGGAAAACTTTTCCCTTAAACCTTGTTGGAGGAAGCCATTATCAACAAGTAAGTTCACCTTAAATTATTTTACTAGCTACGCTACTAAAAAAATACTATTTTATTATCGAGATTTTTTACAAAAAATTTTTTAGTGACTATTTCTATAAACATTTTGATCGAATTAGTAAGAAAAGAAAAAAATTGTAGTGTTACAAAAAAAAAAAATAAGTTTCTCTGTATTTTATTGAGATTCGTTTTTCACTTTTTTCTTTCTCAATGAGCTGGTTCAGTGGAAAATAACTTACTAAGTAGGAAAATAATGTTCTATAATACGATTTATTTTCATTGATTCGCAGCGAGAAAAGTCTATGTTTCTAGTAGTGGTAGCATCAAAAAAGAAAAACATACCTATTGAATTTCATTAGTTGTGAACTGAAAAGGTAGAATGTATGTAAATTTTATTTCTACCACATGAAGATAGAGAAAGTATTTCTGAAAGATTTCGAAAAGACAAAATAGGGGGAAAAATAATTAAACTCATAAATTAAAGTTTTGGAATTTTAACCATCTGTCAATATTGTTTGAATGATAGTAAATTAGTTCCCTTTCAATTTTATACTTTTTGTTAATTAATTTTCAGCAAATGAAGAACAGGCAAAAGGCTACATCTTTTTTAATCTAACAGACAACCCTGAAGATCATACTATACAGGTATTAATTTTTTTTTTCTTTTTAGTTTCAGTTATTTGTACTGATAATTCAAAAGAATTGATATACATTATCAAAAATCTCACGACAAAAATTTATTCACATTCGATATTTATAAAGCACCTATAAAATTGTACCACTTCACTATAACTATAATTTGACGACTTATAAAATAAGATAAATTATTTGTTATAATACGACACCAAATTAAAAAACTCAATCACATAAAAAAAATTATTTAAAAGAAACAAAAAGACAAAATAGGCAAGGGGGTTGGGTTACAGGAAGCTGCCACGAGTCAACTAGCTGGCATCATTGGTGTCTTTTTAATTTTTTTTATCATTTCTCTTCTTTATTTTTGGTTAGTAAATTTACTGTATTTTTTCCAATCAGAATATTAATTCAGCAAAAAATAATAAAAAAAACATATTTTATATAATCATATTTAGTTTGATTTATGAAATTTTGCACCACTTGATTAAACATTTTTGTAGCAAAAGAATAACATAATTCCTCTATTTTATTCTAAGTTTAAGAATATATTATAGTACATATTTGTGTCAAAAAGCAAATCGATGACATAATTGTTCTATCCAAATAATTTATTAGTTTTAGTCGTTTTCCTTTTTTTTCTTTCCTAAGATGGAAAGTGAATTTATTATTATTAGTAAATATTTATCGATGTTTATATCAAATTAATAAATTTCGATATGACTTTAGTTATTATGCATCTCAGATTGCTAATGCAGTGGTTGTGGCCAAATATGTTGGAGCAACTCTAGTCCTTCCTGAAATAAGAGGAACCCAAACAGGGCACAAGAGGTAAATGAGTTATTTACGTTTTTATTTTTTTGGAAAATAATTCTATTTATTTAGCAATTCAATTACATGAGATAAAAAAAAGGAAAAATTAAATCTTATTTATAAGGTATCTACAATTTTACAAATCAACTATTTATTTTTGTAATTAAATGATTTTTTAAGGATTTTTCTTTGAAAATAAGAGTAGGTGAGATTGATAGAGATGGTGTGTTTGGTACGAAAAAAATATTTTCATGAAAAATAATTTAAAAACAAATTGCTTATATTTTTTAAAATTTGATAAGTAAGCTGAAAATATTTTTTCGAAAGCCTTTTAAATATAATCTAAGAAAAAATTATGTGGATGCAAGTGAAGTCGGGGTGCGGTATGGCGGTGGGGGTTAGGGAGGTTGTGGTGGAATGTGTTCGAGGTTGAGGAGGAGACAATCAATGGCTATTGGAATGTCATTTATCGAAATTGTTTTTTCATGTCCACCTAGAAAGTTATTTTACCCATTTGTAAGAAATTTATTTTTTCGAAGTAAAATAGTTTTCAAAAAAATTGACCAATCAGACATGAAAAAATTGAAAAATATGTTAAGGTTCCTCCCTACCAAGCACACCCTTCATAAAGAATCTCAAACAAAGTCTAATTTTTGTTGAAAAGGAATGAAGGTATTTTCCCCCTTTGATTCACAAGTCATGACTTAAATTAATATCTAATCCTCATGTCATTTTTCTCTTATTTTTGGTCTAAATTTGTAGGCAATTTGGTGATATTTATGACATAGAGAGATTCATGACAAGTTTAGATGGTACAATTCAAGTAGTGAAAGATCCACCAATGGAAGCATCAAAAGTGAACATCACAAACATAAAGGTGCCTTTCATGGTGACCAAAGACTTCATTGAATCCAAAATTCAGCCAATATTCAAAGCCAAAGGAAACTTAATGCTTACACCAAACTTGTCACCTTCAACTATGTCAAAAGCCAAAGAGATCATAAAAAAAGACAATATAAAGATGGACCCTTATGCATGCTTAGCTATATTTGGGAGTCTTGAATTGCAACAAGAGTTAAATCAATTGGTTAGCTCAATGATTGGGACATTAAGAAGTTTGAGCTATAAAACAAATGGACAATTTGTTGCTGTGGACTTAAAGGTTGAAGGTTTGGGAAATTTGTGCAAAGGGAATGTGATTAAAACTAAGGATTGTTTTAATGCCAAAGGCATTGGTGAGTTCTTGAAGAAGATTGGTTATCAAAGGCACACTACTATTTACTTGACTCAAAGTGGATGGCATGGCAGTCTTGATGATTTCAGAAAGATCTTCCCCAACACATTCACCAAGGTAACATTTATGTCTATGTACATTGGCTATTTATTTAGTATTTTCTTGGTTTTATTTTATTTGACGATGTTTGACTGAGATCGAAGTTTAAGAAAGAAAAATTGACTTTTGGCATATACCAAAAGTACCTTTAGAACTTGTTGTCTAGATCTTGAATGGTGTCATGACATCTCTATGTCTATAAGGGCATGTCACTAAGGGTAAGACGAAAAGGTGAAGGTTGAAGAGTTTTTCAAATACAGAAATGTGTCATTCTTTCTCAATCAGACTAAAAGTATCATATAAAATGGAGTAGGGGAGTAACTAATAAAGCTAAGAGGTTGAATCAAATAAAACTATTTTTTCTTAGTTTTATTTTGATATGAAAACATTTGAGTACTAAGTATGAGAAGATAGACGGACTTTTGACACATATCAAAAGTATCTTGAGAACTCGTGGTCTAAATCTTAAACATGTCATAACAATTCTATAGTTACAAGATCCTAATGAAGAATTGTGTCATTCTCTTTTAAACAGACTAAGATGTCATATAAAATGGTATAGAGAGAGTAACTAATAGAGTGAGGCTTGCTCAAGTGGTTGAGCACTTCAAACACCACCTGATAGATTGAGGGTTCAAGTCACGCTAGAGAGTAAGTAGAAATTCTATTTATCCTCCTATTTCTTGATTATTGAACAACTTTCCTCTTGTTATGCAATTGCAACAGGATGCAATAATTCCAGCATATGAGAAGGCTAAGTACCAAATCACAAAAAGTTCTGATTTTGAGAAAGTTATTGACTTCCAAATATGCACACAAGCTGATGTATTTGTACCAACAATCTCCAATCTATTCTACACTAATGTTGTAGCAAAGAGAATTGCCTCTGGAAAGACAGAGGTACTTGATCCAACACAAAAGGATTCTACTTCATCTTCTATTGTCAACTATGTCTCTCCATACATATCCAAGAAATCACACTGGGCTTATTCATGCTTTTGTTGATCATCATCAATCATATATAAGTGTAAGCAAATTGTGTCTACTTTTATTTTAAAGTCAACATGTGAGAGAGGTTTAGAATAGCCTATAGTTCAAAACTAGTAGTAATAAATAAGGTTCATATAGTAGCTATTACAAGTATGTTTAGCAATTGTATACAATCTTGTAGTTTTTATTTTTTTATGTCTTGTTTATAAGTACCTATTAAATTGTTGTAACTTTTAAGACAAAAAAAAAAGTAGTGAATTGTTTGAATATGCCAAAATGTATGTTGAGTGTTTTTTTTTTTTTTTTTTTGTGTATGGGGATGAATGGAAAATGAAGGGACTTTGTATACATCGATGGGTTTAAGTAAGCCTTGTTTGCCTATGTATACTTTATTGATGCAACAAACTCTTTTTGAGATTGTATATATACCATAACTGATAAGATTAGTGCGTTAATCGAGATTGTATATATACCATACCATTGATAAACACCAAAATAAGGGATATTCACTTGTCCCTCATAAAAAGAAGGCAAGAAACTTGATTTGTGTATCCCTCATTGTATTCTAGGTATATCATCATGTATATCTGGATTCAAACGTAATATACATGAGTCGATTTATCCTTCAAAATATTTTGAATATGTATAACTGTATAAGTTATCTTTCTTATATGTATATTTATTATAAAATTTGTATAAATGATCGTATATTAGTTATTTAACAGAATTTAAGCATGACATGAGCTAATTTTTCCTTCATATATGTATCTCAGAATGTATATCTCTTATAAGACTTGTATAACTAATTGTGTGTTTGTTATTTACCATAATTTAAGCATGATATTTATTGAGGACCAGAAAAGAAAAAGGTTTTCCATAATAGAAATGATGAAAGCATAAGAGTCAATACAGAAACAATAAAAATTCAAAAAGAGAGAAAAATAAATAATTGTTGAGAATTTGATACCATACAAATACCAAAATTTTGGCCAGTCTGAATTTGATCGTTTGATAATTGAGGCTAATTTAAGATTTAATCTTTCTAGATTAGGTTATGAATAGTTATGAGGTATTACTAGTTCAAGTCTAAAAATAGTAGTAATTATTTCTAGCACGGAGATTACTATTTTATTATAATGAGTTTGCTTAATATCGATTCGAATTAAATAAAGGTCAATAATTTTCGAAAGCGAAATGTCCAATTACGTACTACTACTTTGATATCTCATTCTCCACACGTCTTCTATTTCACATATAAGACAATTGCAACCAAAAACAAAAAGAGGTTGTTGAAAAAAAGTTATTTATATTTTGAAAAAGGAAATATTTCGATTTTTTTAATATTATATTAATAGTTGAATGATAAATCACCAAGCAAATATACATATTTATTTGTATTTACTAAGAGGATATATTATATCTTTACAAACTTTCTTAATCCAAAATAAATACACTCTTATTACAATTCCATAACAAGTTGAGTTGGTACAATTATTGGATATTATAATGTCAAACAAAAAAATAACGTACACGTTTGTTTGATCCCCAAAGCCAAATGTGTCGATAATAGAGTTAATTGTTAAAAAAATACATTAAAATATTTTGATTTTTTGGACTTCATATCTGAACCGTAAGAACTAATGTGAGCAGGTTTTTTTCCTGAACTACTATCAACTATTTATTAAAATACACATCAACTACTCCCTCCATTTCATTTTGCTTGACCCCTATAATCCAAAAAGTTATTTCATTTGTTTCCTCATATTATATTTAGTATTAAATAACTATAAATAAAGTTAATATTAGTAGTAGTAATCAACTTCAGAGTCCAAAGCATCATTAATAAGCTTAATTTAGTAAAATACACATCTAATTATTATAAATTAAATATATGGATCGTTGGGCTGGGTCAAATTTTTATGTAGACCGATAAATAATGACCATGTGTTTACTTAAAACTAAATCAAATGTCATATAATTGTAATCGTTAACAGAGAGAAATTTCAAGTCTAAAAATAACGTTAGGGGCAAATTTAATTCACTAGGCGGAAGAAAGATATTTTAAAGGTATTTCTAATGTGTTAAAAGACATTTTTACCCTTTTCCGTAAAGTTTATTAGCTGAAGATTAGTTACAAGATAATACGCTTCTTTATGTCTTTGAAAGGAAAATAGAGAAATTTGATGATTTATATTAACCTTTACAACCAAATAAAATCAAAGGATTTTTTTTTCCAGATTTTTATTTTTTTATCTATCTAAAGTAGTATATTATTATGACTACATTTTCCAACTAAAATGAAATATTACTGTCAAAATTGAATTGTACATTCATAATTATCCTAAGAACACATGATCCTAGATCGATACTTGTCACGAAAAATTTATTCTCTAGTTCACTCATAAAAAATGATCGTTATCAATTTCGCCTCGAAAACTTGACATGCTATTGTAGAAATATGTTAATCTAAGTAACACATGGAAAAATAAATTCTAGAATTATTTATTAAAAAATAATTAAATAAACACCACGTCTAAAGGGAGAAGTAATATATGACTTGCTTAAGTCAAGATACGATCTTTCCTAATTTATTTTTTTATCATTTTATTTTTATTTTTCTTCTTTTATAAAGGAGTGAACGTGGAAAATAAAATATAAAATATATGAAAGGAAACTTCACAGCACCTTCTCGAGAATTATATAGTTTACTTGCTAAATGGATTGGTTAATCGAGTAGAATTATTTTTTGTATAAAGTACATAAATTCTATACATTTTGACTAATTATATCATATATCAGAAGTTTCTCAAATTACAAAAGTTCGAATTTTTCATTACTTTCCGATATATTTCTTGGTTGGTTGATACATTGAAATAGAGATATATCAGAGAGGGTTTTTTTTTAAAATAAAATAAAATGATATAAAATTTTAGAAATTATGATAATTTAAGTCGTGTATTTATATATTTTTTCCTTATTTCATATGCTTCTCATTTGCTATATGACCTCTTTATCCTTTCACTTTGGTCAATTAAATTAATCTTTAAATACAAGTTAATTTGAAGAACCACTTATAATTAGCATATATAATTTTTTACTTCATCTTATCTTACTTGTAGATGTGACACAATTGTTATTTCGGACTTGGAAGGTGGGAGAAACTATACACTTCTGATTCAACAGAATTCAATAATTTAAATTATGTATTTGTAATATTAAGATATGCATGCAATATATATACAAATAATTTATCAGACATTCAATAAATTGTTTTTTAAAACTCGTAGAAATTCAGAATTCTAATTTTATTTTCTCAAAGGTTACACAATTTTTTACGAGTACTCAATTGTGTCGACCAGTCAAATGCGTAACTTTCAAAAACAAAATGTTTAGAAAGGAATTGAAATCAGAGTTCACACTGTAGTTTTAAACGTGGTATTGCCGTGTTCTGCACGATCAACCAAAGAACATTTAAATTATTTTATCAATGTTATACATTTTTTATTTTGTTTTGAATTGTTGTTCTACATAATATAACAAATAATATATATTATATCCATCTTTACAAATTTCAAAAACAATAACTAATCATATTAATTGTTTGCTTGGGTTATAGTAATTACTAAAGTTGTTGGGTTTTTGCCTAGTGGACCTTAAGAACACCCCTTATGGGTGGACTCTATTTTCTATGCTAAATTAACAATTAAAGTAATTTTTTATATATAAAAATTAAAATAAATATAAAATTTGTGCTATAAAATAGTAAATTTATTAATAGAAACTAAAGTTTTTCTCACCACAAATCAGTAAAAAAATTGGTCTATAAAATATGTTTTTTTTCTCATTGAATCAGCGTATGGAAAAATGCATGAGTCATGACAGGAAACATATTTTCATTGAAACAATAAAAAAAAATTCTATTTTTCGTATGGAAATATTTTTATTTTTTCTTTTCTCATTGATTAAATCAAAATATACGTGAATATATCCCGAATATTTAACATTGGAAAAATAATATTAATATTTTTTTGGTAGTGTCTAGTACCCTCTCTAACTTACCAAAAGCCTTTAAATTTATGCTGACATATTCATTTCCATTTGCCTTTTTGCCACACCATCAAATACTCTTCCACATACTTTTTTTTTAAAATTTAAAAAGTCTAACCAACAAAACAATTAATTTAACCAATAATAATTGAATCCTTCCTCCTCATTACTTTATTTCATCTAGAAGATTAATAAATTCAAAAAAATTCCACAAACTTTATACTATTTATATCTTGTCTTCTTTGATTAATCCCTCTTACTTATAACTCAAAAAACTCCAAGAAAGTCCTCACTATTATTTCTTCAATTTCAAAGTTTTCTTTCTTTCTTCAACAACTATCAATTATGTCTTCTTTGTTGACTTCTCAAGGTGTTGTATTTGCCACAGCCATGGCTGTTTCCGCTGGCACTATGATCCTTTTAGCCACTTTTCGTCTTCAAAAAACTCAAGAATTCTCCTTCAATTCAATTTCCAATATCCCTCCTCGATCTTGCATATCTACAGGTATGACACGCTTTTCTTTTTAGTCTGTTTCATTTAATCTATGTTAAGTCCTAGTCATGTCAAGTTATGTACAACTTTAGCACAAGGTAATGTGTTTTGTCAATAATGAGGATTGGGGGTGATTGATGATAATTTTTTTCATTTTTATACCATATGAAATACTTTCGCGATCGTAGATAAGTCATGTTTAAAATCACAAATTTCAAAAATAATTTTGATATATGCAAAAAGTAATTTTTAATTTATTTTTGTCTAATCAAATATTGTCATGTGAAATGACAGGAGAAAAATAATTGTTATAAGCGATTAAATTATAATGATAATATAAAAAATATATATATCGTAATTTCATATGTTAATTGGATTTTTTTAAATTTATTTTTATTTAGATGGGAAGAAGAAGGAGAAGAAGAAAAAGAAGGTGAAATTTGCAGAAGATGTGGTGGAGCCAAGTGGAAATAGTGAAGAATATAGAAAGCTTCGTCATTTTAATAGTAATAATAATACTAATAATAATTTTCGTCATA